GATTCCTATCCCCGAGTCTAGCAAAGAAAGGGCTACTGTTCCCATGTCCAGCCCAAGGAGGGCTCCAGTTCCCACGTCCAGCCCAAGGAGGGCTCTAGTCCCCAAGTCAAGCCCAGGGAGGTCCACAGTTCCCCAGTTAGGCATACGCAGGGCCTCTAAAGATGATATTCTCCCCAAGGATTTTTTTTTGGTGGGGGGTAGTAGGGGTCCTTCCGTGGAGGCCGGGCCGAGTGCCGTGGCCAGGCCCCCTGAGCTCCCTGCGCCGCCATGGCTCCCCGAGCCCCCTGTTCCCCCATGGCCTCCTGAACTGGCTGCTCTGCCATGGCTTCCTAGTCTGCCTGCTCCGCCATGGCTTCCTAGTCTGCCTGATCTGCTGTGGCCCCCTGAGCTCCCTGATCCGCCCTGGAGGCCTCCCGTGTCTCCATCCTGTACAGGTATCCTGTACCTCCCTGGTGGATATGTTATGGCGCGGGACCCGCCTTTCGGGAGGGGGGAGTAATGTCAGTGTTTTGGACTTGTGTAGGTGTGACAATATATGTGTGTTTACTGTGTATATTTATTATGTATATATAGATACACACACATACAATATGTATTTTGAAAATATTTACATGTCTATATTTATATTCATATAATTTATATTATAAATATATGTACTATATAAACAATTAATTTTTTTCTGAAATATACACTCTTAAAAATGCTGGGTTGTTTAAACCCAACTTTGGGTCAAATATGGACTAACCCAACCATTGGGTTAATTTTTTTAATTAAAATTTTAACCCAAAAGTTGGGTTAGTCCATATTTGACCCACAGTTGGGTTGAAACAACCCAGTATTTTTAGAGTGTATACAGTTCATGCGTGTGTGTATTTATGTATACATAATAAATATACACACTTGCACATGACGCAAACACACACATGCTAGTGCACTAACAGTGTAAAGCCCATACGAGGTAACCTTTATAGATAAAGGCCTTTTTCAGGGTTATATCAGTGAGATGGTTGTAATACTGAGTTGATTGACAGTGCAGAATTACTTCCTTTAATGGCAGAGTGTAAACAGAATAGTTGCTGAAGCTAAAATGCCACTAGAGCTAAAATAGATTCACACAGAGCTCAATGCTTTCATTCCTCACCAATATTTCTCACTTTTATAGGTGATGCCATTTACTCTCTGAGGGGGAGGTGGAGTTACATTCCGTCTTCTTGTGCATATCGCTTCATGGAGCGTATGTGCTAAAATGCTATCATGTGTAACCTGTAACCTTACCTCAGTGCACTATCAGAGCTAGTTTCCCCACAAATTAACAATTAAACTGGCATTACAATTTAATACCAAACTGGGTTTAATCTGTGACAAGGGAACTGTCTGTGTTTCGTTTTTCATGCAAAGGGAGATAATTACAGGTATAAGTGCCCTTAATTAATAAGGTTTGATAAATTTAGGGATGCACACCCTCTTCTGCTTCTTTTTCTTCACTCTTCAGTTGCGGATCAAGCCTGTGCTGAGTGTTGCTTTCTGTGCTCCTTTCCAGATTTCACAAATCCATATATTCATTCAAACTGTATCAAAGCTCAACCAAAAAAAAGTACGAAACAGAAATACCCCTCACAATTACACACACACACACACACAAACACAGGTCACCATTGCTGTCTAAAAGTTATCAGAAAACGGAGGATTATTTTCTATTCAGGGGGGATTTCGCTAACGCTTTTCTCTGTTGCACAGGTGTTTGGTAGTGATAAACAACTCTCTTTCACTCCTGCCTGCTGTGTGTGTGCGTCTGTGTGTGTGTGTGTGTTTGTTTGACAGATTTGGTGTGTAGGAGCTTGTCAGTAACTCGTGGTTAGGGAGAGATGGTGTTAATCCTAAACCTTAAATCTTCGTAATTCAGATTAAAGTCAGGCTTTAACTCTGTGGTAATTCACTTAACACTGTAAAACAGGCGGCATCTGCTGTTCCCCAGCCCTGAAACTGTAGTCTATAGAGGAAGAAGTGGTACAGCAGTTGCCATATAGTGTATCAATGTCCTCATATCAGCCTTCTCCATCCTCAGCTGGCAATAACACAGTGTATGTGACTATAACACTAGAACCGTGCATAATGCATCTGAGTATAATATGTTACAGGATGCCAATGTGAAAGCCAACACATTCATAAAATGCCCTGGAGCAACAAAAATAATTCTACTTATAAAGAATCGTGCAGGAAAATTTCAATATATTGCAAATAAAAAAAATCCGTTGCACTTTGACACATGGTGGACATTGAAACCAAATAAAGGTGTTTTACACAGCCATACAAAAACTGCTATGAGTAAATTCTATGTAAAAATGGTTGTAAAAAGCCTTAAACAGTGGAATTGTAAGGATGGAGTATACATTTAAACATTTCATATGTAAACTTTTTTTGAAATTTTCATTCCACATACACCATCATTAAAAATTTTGGAGTCAGTATGTTTTGTTTAATGGAAAAAAATAAATAATTTGCTATCACTGGAATGTATTTTAACATATATTAAAATAGAACTGTTATTTTAAATTATAAATATATTTCACAATATTTATTTTTTATTGTATTTTTGATCAAATAAATGCAGCCTTGGTGAGCATAAGAGAGAGAGAGAGAAAAAAAAACTTACCAACCTCAAACATTTGATTGGTAGTGTTCATATTATATCATAAACAGTTAAATTCAATAATGATAAACAAACCAACCAACCAAATATTCATAAAGAAAAATAATCAAAAATAAATAATTTTTATTATCTCTAATTTAATTTCTAATTTAATAAAATCATACTTTTAAATACTTTCAAATTTAAAATATTAATTTCATTACACAATTTCTGATGATAATGTCACCTCTGTACAGCATTAAATGTAAATGAACCTTTCCGTGGTATACGTGATTCATATGCAGCTTCTGTGCCTTGAAACTTCGATTGAAACTTTCGCTTCTGATATATAAGGACTATTTCAGAGAACTTTTATCTCCATTACTAGCTTTCAGATTTCAAACTGGCTGGAGATGGTGATAAACAGCTTCCAATGGGTCCTACATTGATGACAAAAGCATTTAGCAAATGAGCCACGGTTTGAGACAGTATAAATTGTGAGAACAGACCAGCGGGGTGGCAATTGAACTGAGGTTCAGACTCAGGGAAACATAGCAAGTGTTAACGCAGCATTATTCTCCCCGAAACATCATTTATTATGGATTCTGTCCATTTCCCAGAAATTCAATGGTTTGACAAAAGCTACTGCTGAGCTGAAGTCACACCTGCTCAGTTCTGCTCATGTAGAGACTGTATTGTAACAGTGATTTTAGTTTTTTGGTGCACCACTGTTGACATATTAATCTAAGTTATTGCACCTATAACACAATTAGAAGAAGAACTGTTAAAAAATAACTACTTTAAAATAACTATTACTATTAATATGTCAAAAGTAAATGGGTAGTTACTTTTGTAAAGAGTTATGACATGCTATGCAACAGCAAAAACTATTCCAGTGTTTCCCCTGCCATTATTTTAGGGGGGCGGTCCGCGGTTAATTTTATTTAATTATATTTTCTCTATAGCGCCAGATCACAACCATTTGAGTAAAACTATCATCATATCATACACACACAGAAATGTAATGGTATTCACGGCAACCCGTCAAAATAAACGTTCGGTTTAACTTGAAGGCATTGGCAGAAAACTATTACTATTGTTGAGTAGAATGTATGTAAGAGGCTGCTACTACTACTACAATTATTAAAACCTTATTTTTAAGGTATAAGCATTCAATATTTCTTCAATGTTTTAACTGTAATATTAAATGACCTTTACGTAAACCTAGGGGAAACACTGTATTCTGAATAGCATTTAGCTATTATTATGATTATTATTATGCATGCAGCTTTTAAGGCCACATATTAATTGATTCGATTCAAAAGTTAATTCATCACACTGCATGATGACAAAAATGAGTTAGTGAAGACAAAAGCGTGATTTAAAAAGGTGAAAAACTCCTGCGATAGAACCAAACATATATACATTTTGTTGTAAATTTTAACCAAAAATATTTTAAAGGGGTCATATGATGCGATTTCAATTTTTCCTTTCTCTTTGGAGTGTTACAAGCTCTTGGTGCATGAGCTTTGTAAAAATCTACGCGTTTCAGAAAGGCGGGGCATAGAGGAGAAACAATAATGTACAGTATGTGGAAAATAATGTTTTTTTTTAACCTTAAACCGCATAAACACATTTCATTAAACCAAATACACAAAATACTGTTCTTTTTAGCAGCATCATATGACCCCTTTAAAAAAGAAAGAAATATGGCCATGCTATGTCAACTACCCACATGTATGTACCTCTGAAGATGCAGCTGTTCTGCATATGTGTGCATCTGTACGCCATTACCTGTATAAGTCTGCTCTGTTCAGTCTGCAGTGTATTCAGGTCCTGTCCCAGGTTGCTTTGTCCTCTTCTGAGAGACTCATAGTCCATCTTCAGCTGTCCCGCGTGGGCAGACAGCTTAGCAACTTCCTCTGCCAAGTTGACCAATAGCGCTCGATCCTGACCTTTGACGGACTTGAGATCCGTATCGTGGTCGGTGAGCGAATGCAGCAAAGATGTCTGCACGCCTTCCAGCCGCAGGAAATTACTGTTATAATCAGGGCAGTTGGGGTCGATGAAGATATTGATGCGTGATCCATCACCCCTCTCTACTGTCACCAATGCATTGGCTTCGTCCTGATTGGTGCTAATATGAGGCGGGCCGTCCGACATGTGGGGAGCCTGGTAGTGGTTCATAAGAAGAATGGTTCCCGTCACTGTGACTGCGAGCAGAACGGCCACGAAGAGAAGGATGGTACATAGCAGATAGCTACAACTCATCCTCTGCAGACAGACAGAGACAGAGGAAAAAAAGACACAGAGAGACAAAGAGAGTTGAAGTCATCATAACATCATAATCATCATTACCATTTCTGCAGAACAGAAAGTGCTTTTTAAAGCCCGTCGGGGATAATACTGCAGTCTGACAAAACTGCAGGAAAGACAAGGAAAGAGAGATGGGGGTGTTCCTGGCCCTGCTCTCCTCTCCTTTCACAACTTGGCATGAGCATCATCTGTTTGCTCTAATAATGTTCACTTCTTAGTGACATAGTTCCTCTTTTCTTGCAAACACAAACAACCCTCTTTTCCCCTCTCGGCTCTTCTCTGTATATTTGAATCAGGTTATATGATGAAGAATCTCTGTAAAGTAATTTAAGTCTGAGAAAAGGGCTACAAAAATGTAAGCATGTATTATTATTTGTATTAATAAAAATCATAAGTATAAAACTGCAAAATTTCGTAATATCATGCCACACTCTGCAGTGTCATAATTTAACTACATTAATTACATGCAACTGCAACTGATTAAGGAAAGACAAGGAAAGAGAGATGGGGGTGTTCCTGGCCCTGCTCTCCTCTCCTTTCACAACTTGGCATGAGCATCATCTGTTTGCTCTAATAATGTTCACTTCTTAGTGACATAGTTCCTCTTTTCTTGCAAACACAAACAACCCTCTTTTCCCCTCTCGGCTCTTCTCTGTGTATTTGAATCAGGTTATATGATGAAGAATCTCTGTAAAGTAATTTAAGTCTGAGAAAAGGGCTACAAAATGTAAGCATGTATTATTATTTGTATTAATAAAAATCATAAGTATAAAACTGCAAAATTTCGTAATATCATGCCACACTCTGCAGTGTCATAATTTAACTAAATTAATTACATGCAACTGCAACTGATTACATGTAATCTGGATTACAAAATCTAATTCGAAAAATTACTTGTAATTAGATTTATTTACATTTTAAAATACTCGTAATCAGACTACAGCTACTTTTTATTGATTACATGATTACATATCAGTCATATCATTTTGTGTACATTCACACAAAGACCAGTCACTAGTTAGATGGCTACACAGCATTTGACTACTGGATTTACAAAAATCATTTCAGGTTTAAGTGGTTTAACATTGCATCAACTACTAATTAACACATTAATTTTAATTTTAATTATCACTGACTGGGTTATTTATGTATTACTATGTATTTGGAAGGCTTTTGTCTTTCAAATACATTAAAATGCACAAATTCACATTATATCTTATTTACATGCACAGTAATGCAGGGATTCCCAAACTTTTCTGTCATCTGAACCTCTTTTACCTAATATATTTACTTGAAGTACCACTGAGATTTTAAAATAAGTATTTTAATAAATAAGTATCATATTTGCATGTTCACAGTTCTCTGACGTTGGTTAATGGTCACATGACATGCAGGTAAACAATTAAAATATTTCAATTTTTAATAAGTGTTTTATTTTGATTGATGTTATTTTTAAATTATTTATTTTAATTTAACATTTTTCATGATTTAATCAATCATTAGCTTTTCATTATACTCACAAACCCCCTGCAGTTCCTCTAGGAACACCAGTTTGGGAAACCTTGACGTAATGTTTAATGCACTTCATGTTGTTAATTACAACAAATTGAATATATTTTCTTCATCTTAGTGTTTTTATATCAATATGGTACAATGTTACCCTATTTAAATCAATGTGATAAGCAAATGAGGTCAAAAGTAATCTAAAAGTAGTCTGATTATATTACCTAAAATGTGTACTGTAATGGATTACGTTACTAACTACAATTTTTGTCATGTAATTTGGAATCAGTAACTGATTACAATTTGTTAGCAATCTACTCAGCTCTGCATATAATACATCAGAAAGTAAAATTATGCAACCTACTCCACTGTATTGTAATCATACCATTCACTGGTATGAATGGAAGTCAATGGATCAAAAAGTGTTGTGTGAAGCTTTATTTGGTAATCACGGGTTCTTCATCAGAGAAATGCTTCTCACAAATCTGAATCTCAGAACCAGACATAGGCACCATGTTTGTGAGTGTGTGCTGTCAATGTGCATTATCCATTCACTCCATTACCCATTTTGCGCAGTTAATAAACTCAGCTCTCCATCTCTGGTTCTCCCTTTAATGGGAAAAATTAAGCCACTTTGAGTTTACCATCCAAACAAATGTGTGTGTGAAGTCTGGACATGTGTGTGTGTGCATGCAAGGATGCACTTGCAGTGGAGGTGTGCTCTCTGTGTAAAATATGCAATTTCCTGAATAAGCGTGTACACATATGTTCTTTTTTTTCCCAAACCTTCCTGTTCATAAATATGCTAAACAGCCACACTGGCATTGGCCCATACTCATGGGTGGTTAATGGCTTGCTTTACGAGTTGGCTTTTACGATCGACTCTAATAAAAAGATTTCGGAGAAGCACTTCAGTGAACAGTTTACTCAGAGAGACCAGAGATCTTCCCTCCTCCATCTCTGAGGGCTGGTGGAACATGTCGAGGCACTAGATGTGATAAGCTGCTGGTATGATTTAAATAAGATCAAACCACACAGAATTTTTTGCAAACATTTTGTTATTTACACTAGTCTATCCTTCACAGAATTACTTCTGACACAGGTGTATGGTTTTGGTATTCTGTCAAGCAAGTATGTTTTTTCCCCCCAAGCTTTCCAAGGACAGAAATAGGGTTTACAAAATAATACATTAATACGTGAATGTATTATCATGAGCTAACAATGAACAACAACTGTTAAATAGTGTTCATTTTTAATAATATTAATAATATACTATAATATCATTATTAACGTGTATTTACATGTATTACATTTTTATTAATATTTTATTGACTCTGTGTAAAATATGCAATTTCCTGAATAAGCGTGTACACATATGTTCTCTTTTTTCCCAAACCTTCCTGTTCATAAATATGCTAAACAGCCACACTGGCATTGGCCCATACTCATGGGCGGTTAATGGCTTGCTTTACGAGTTGGCTTTTACGATCGACTCTAATAAAAAGATTTCGGAGAAGCACTTCAGTGAACAGTTTACTCAGAGAGACCAGAGATCTTCCCTCCTCCATCTCTGAGGGCTGGTGGAACATGTCGAGGCACTAGATGTGATAAGCTGCTGGTATGATTTAAATAAGATCAAACCACACAGAATTTTTTGCAAACATTTTGTTATTTACACTAGTCTATCCTTCACAGAATTACTTCTGACACAGGTGTATGGTTTTGGTATTCTGTCAAGCAAGTATGTTTTTTCCCCCCAAGCTTTCCAAGGACAGAAATAGGGTTTACAAAATAATACATTAATACGTGAATGTATTATCATGAGCTAACAATGAACAACAACTGTTAAATAGTGTTCATTTTTAATAATATTAATAATATACTATAATATCATTATTAACGTGTATTTACATGTATTACATTTTTATTAATATTTTATTGACATGTTCATTTGGATTTACATTATTTAAATTATTATTTAAATGCATTTAAATGTAGTTTCCAACAAATGTTTATAATAATAAACTATGATGCCAGCATGAATGACAAGATAAAACAAACCAGGCATTATTTAAAATTGTTTTCCAGGTCCTTCATAATTCACTGATATCTGATGCTTCAAATTTATTCAAGCCAACTGTTCATTCTAAAGGACAAATGTTATATTATTTAACAGGTATGACTGATGCGCTTAAATTCTACATGTAATCCAATTGAACTCAATCCAGTAATGCTCCTTGGACAGTTTCCTTTTGAACAGCTGTTTCATCTAGATTAAAAACTGCTAAAACAGATTCATGCGGCAAACTCTCAAAAGGTTGAAGGCAGTATTGATAGATGGACTATACAGTATGAGCCATTTTCCCTGCAGATCAACCGTCATTGTGACTGCTTTCTCTTCCATGTTCTGTTGCTGATTCTCTCCAGCTGAGCCTCAGTAGATTGATAGCTAGTTTTGCTTGTTGTATTTTATTGAGTGAAGACTGCAACAACTTCAGAACTGAGTATCTCTCAGAGTGTCTTTCTCTCTCTCTGTCTTTGTCCCTTTTCCAAACCTCTCTCACACACAGACACATACACACGATATTCTAAACACAAGCAACACCATAAATAGGCTACACTGATCATTTCTATGTGCGAGGTCTGTTTTCTCCCACACACTGGTGCATTCACCTGAATTTTAATTTTAAAGCCCAGACAGATGAAGGGTGTTCCTGCAAAAAAATAAATAAATAAATAAACAGTTTTGCATAAAATATTCAGAAAGCAACGACACTTCAGTAGATATGACATAGATGAATCCATAAGAGGCCTGACATACAGGGAAGAATATGATGAAATGCAGAATATAAGCCAAATGTGTGTGTGCGAGAGTGGCATTTTGATAAATATGCCGTCCAAAGGCAAACGCAGTAACTACACATCCGGCCAAAATTGAGTTAAGTCCTAAAATGGGCTTTGTGACATCTGTTCTGTCTTGTGACAAAGTCTCCTGGTTCAATTTTGTCCCGTTTCAGAGAAACGAGAGTGTCAAAACTGCAGTAACTACAAAATCCAAGCTAATACCAAGGCAAACCGCAGTAACTGCATTCTGGCTTTGTTTTCCCGGCTTTGACACTGCAGATCCTGCGCAGTCTGCCTTGGTATCCCGCGGCCAAATGATGGTTGAACTCGCGTTAAAATGCAAATATCCAAAGATGGGTAAGGAAGATAGCAAAATATTATCTCCTAGCAAGGCAAACGACAGCTTTATAATCAGTTAACATTAACTAGCCAGTCGCTAGCAAATTAAACAGCCTACCTGCATTGCTTCATATCCACTCTGACAACGTAATGATAATCTGATTTAGAATCGCGTTGATGTTTGTTGATTTGGACGTCTCTCCACGTTTCAGGCAGCTAATCCAATTGTAACAGGGGTTATTCTTTCAAAAGTTAGCTGGCTCCAGTTAAGT